AGATGGTGTTACAGTGGTCAGTTTACATTGTTGATCGCCATATATAGGCTCATGCCATGCAAAAATTCTCAATTACATGCTATAGTTTAAATTAAAATTATTACATATCAAATTACAGTGTCGAAATATTTATTAAAATAATGTCAAATGAGATTACCTAATTAATACACAATCTCAACTTTGTAAAATAATTGTCACATAAAATGTCTAATTAATATCACAGTACCACTAAGCCGGTTACAATACTACATCTAATAATTTGTCTTCAAGAAATTCCCTTACCGAATAATATGATTTTTCTAAAAGTAGTGTCTTCACTTTTTTTTAAATAAATTAATATTTGAAATTTCAAGCAGAGAGTTGGGTAAATGATTATACACTCTAGGAATCATACAAAATACACTGCTGTTTAAAAGTTTAGTTTTGTTAGACATGAAGCTTATTTGGAAATGGCATCTCTTGATTTGGGCTCTAAAGCCCAAATCTTTTCCTACAGAGTTGCCCCAAAACATAACACCACACATTAAAAGAGGAGTAACATGTCCATGGTAAGCCATTAAAACTGTGGATGTACTGGCAGTTTTGGACAACATGTAGATCGCATATGAATATTGATTAAGTTTCGAACACAACATCTCTGTATGTGACTTCCACTTTAGTTGAGAATCAATGTTCAGTCTCAAGAATTTTGTTGTCTCTACTTCTTCAATTTTTGTTTGTGTATAGTAGATTTTCATGTCCGTTAAATTGTGAACTCTGTTTCGAAACGTCATTAATTTAGTTTTTTCCAAATTTATTTTTAAATTATTTAAAGTCAACCATTTAATAATATTGTCTAAGGTATTGTTTATCTCCAATTCTATTTGAGTTTTTTCTTTTCCTGTTAATATAATTGTACTGTCGTCAGCAAATAAAATAGTGTCATTGCTTGTTATTTTCGGGAGATCATTTATGTATATAATAAATAATAATGGACCTAGTACACTGCCTTGTAGCACACCAAAGTTATTGATTTTGTACTCTGATTCATAGTCACATACAATTTTTTTGTGAGGACACAATCTCGTTATGTGTGTAGACTGTTTTCTGTTACCAAGATAGCTCTTAATAAGATCATGCGTATTTCCCCTGACTCCATAGGCAAATTACTTATCTAGCAATATATTGTGGTCAACATAGTCAAATGCCTTTGTTAAGTCCATATAAAGGGCGCAGGCATGATTTTTATTATCCATGTTTACCATAACACTCTTTAAAAATGAGAAAACTGCCATATTTATAGTTTTGTTCTTTCTGAAACCTGCCTGCTCTTTTGAAAATAAATTATTTGTTTCGAAATAATTATTTAATCTTTGATGAATTACTTTTTCAAAAACTTTGGATAGAACAGGTACTAATTCTATCGGTCTATAACAGCTCATGTCATTTCTGTCGTTTTTCTTAAAAATAGGTTTGATTATGGTAAACTTTAATTTGTCAGGAAAAAGGCCATGATAAATGCATTGATTGATAATATGACTCAGTACATGTGATAATTTGATAGAAACATATTTTAATACTTTGGTTGAAGTATCATCGTAACCCGTACTATTCGTAAGTTTTAAATTTAAAATAATTTTATTTATTTCATTCGGTGTTGCGGGTTTCATAATTATTAAGTGCACATTTATTTTTGTTCGACGTAGAATCAATGAATTTGCGAATCACTATTGACAGTTAGAGTCACAAGTTCTTCATAAGCAATATTTCCAGTTAACTGGGTGTGGTGTAGATCAGCATACTGTTGTGGTGGAGACAGATAAGGAGCGGTATATTCTTGAGTCATAGGCTGCCGAGTATTTTGTCGTGATACGTATTGAGACATCTCTGAATATTAGGATCGAGAAGTGCTAGCTCTTTCTCCGCTATCGCCAGCAGGACTGTGTGTAAACGAAGCTGGATTTCTGTATTTTTCCCATGTCACAGTCAAATAAAATTATCATTATGTTGAATTGTGCCTGAGCACGGGTATAGTCATCATATTTACTTAACTTGTTTGCTATATGCTCTGCGAAACCAGCAAATTCATTTCTTCTTTTTTCACCTGCTTCAAGTATAATGTTTTGAGCCTTTTCCAAAATGGGATCTGCAGTCTTGGACTTCTTAGAAGCACGTGGTTTTGAAGAGGGAACAGAGGAAAGCAGAGAGTCCGTTGTTTCTGAAAGTACCTCTTGGTCAGCAATGCTACTAGTCTGTTGGGCTTCAGTCCCCTGAAAACGAAAGAAATATTCAATATAATTAAAAAGGAACCTTTATTTTACATATGCCATTACAAGCGACTGAATGGAAACGAGTCGCAAAGGATTTTGAAGACCGTTGGAATTTTCCTCACTGTTTGGGTGCAATGGATGGCAAGCACATTAGAATTATTTGTCCACCCAACAGTGGTACTCAATATTTTAATTATAAGCAGTTTTTTTAGCATAGTGCTATTCGCGGTAAGAGACGCAAGGTACAATTTTTTGTATGTACAAGCTGGAGTTCAGGGAAGAATATCCGATGGGGGAGTTTTTAGGCATACGGCTTTTGGGCAAGCACTCCTGAACCAAAATCTTGACATACCACATTGTGAACCCCTTCCGGGTCAAGAAGTATCTACACCATATGTTTTCTTGGCAGATGATGCATTTCCCTTAACACGTTGAACGCCATGGGGGTCACCGGTGACCTCATCTGGTTTACTTTATTGCGCCATGGGGGTCACCGGTGACCTCAAGCGAGAGGCATATTCGAAATGTATTTTTGGGCCGCCGGTCACGCGTGTCGTACATTTCGTGTATGCGAGTGACCGCTTTGGCGCTATAGAGTAATCCTTTTCAAGGGGACGTGGCTACTTAGAAAATTTTAGGAAATATGTACAATATCCTTAAGATAAAATAAAAAAGCGACTAATTTCATGATACATGACTTTTAATCACATTAAATCTTAAAGCTATTACAATGCACATTATTAAAAATATAAAACAAACAATATAAACTTCAAATTAAAAAAAAATGTCTTCTTACACAGGAAAAAATCCAGGAAATGCTACAAAAATTACCATTGAAATAAAAATGCAATCAGAAAAAATTAAATCAATAATTGACTAGAAAGAACTAAACATAACGATGGATCTTATTAAAATAGGATAAACAGATATGTGGGTTTCCATCACATTGAGCGCAAAAAGTATTAACCTTTTTAGCTTTATTTTTCGCCAATTTTCGTCCAAACTGCTTTACCATATCTTTGTAACAGTGTACACAAAATCGTCTAGTATTTCTCACTGTCCCAGTTTTTGTTAGCAACTCGTGCTTCAAACGTTTGGGTCTTGATACCGTTACTCCTGACTCAGTCTGCTGAGAATCTGACGAGCTTGTTAGATAGTCTACTAGAGATTTCCGAAACTCTACGATTGACATTTTTGTGTTCCTAGTTTCGGTAAACATAATCCATGCATTTACTACGGCAGTATTCAACAAAATCTCAATACCAAGTTTCCGGTACCACTTAATAGTTTTACGTAAGGGAGAAGAATACGACGACATTTGGTCGCTCATATCGACAGATCCTTTTGACTTATTATAATCTAAAATCACTTTCGGCTTAGTAATCTGTTTGCCCTTTTTGGCGATTGTTGACATTTTATCAGAATGTTTAGTAGAAAGCATCATCACGTCCCGCTTATCTTTCCATTTTAAAATTGTTATACCATCCTCGTTTTCCATGGCCATGAACTCTCCCTTTTGAAGTTTGGCTTCTACTACATCCTTAGGTAAACCTCTTCGGTTTTTCCTAATAGTCCCAATCAAGTGCGTTTGATGTTCCAGTAAATTGTAAGCCAACTCTAAGCTGGTGTACCAATTATCAGTTGCCAAAGTGTGGCCTTACAACGTACAAAGAGACATTACCACTGATGTAGGCGTAGTATTTACAGTATCGATATTTTTACCGCCATACAACGAAAATTTGCAGGTGTACCCGGGAATAGTACATAGTTTGAATAGCTTTAAACCATATTTATGGCGTTTACTTTTATTGTATTGTCTAAATACAATCCGCCCTCTGAATGGAACCTGACTTTCGTCGACACAGATGTCTTCTTTCGGTGAATAATACTTTTGAAACGTATTATTGACCATATCTATAATCGGTCTTATCTTAGAGATTCGAGCAGTTATATGCTTTAAAAACTTAGATGGACCGCTTGATAGCTGGGATCGGCTTTTAATTTGTATCCTCAATAGGAAACTAGATTCATACACAATTCGTGCCTTTCAGTTAGAGCGTCATCCACAAATATTACCAAAAATGGTGGAATTTATAGCATTTTTGGAAAAATGTGCTATGGCACTGGAAGATAGCGCCCCACATAAGAGTAATTGCTTTGAAAATAAATTAAGGTCAGTAGTAAGAGCTGCAAATGTTTCCACACAATCCATTGAATTGTGTGATTTTTGTAAATTGAAAGATCATGCAATTTTTAATTGCCTAAAATTTAAGATGGTCACTATTGAGACTCGTTTATCTTTTGTCAAAGATCACAGATTGTGTTCTATTTGCTTAAGGGATCATTCAGACAATGTCTATAAATATAAATTTAAATATAGAATTTGTAAAAACCCTCATAATACTCTCCTCCATGTGGAGGAGGAGGCTAAGGTTTCACTGTTTTCAAATAGCAATACTTCTAATGCAGTTACATTGTTGCCTACTCTTAAGGTAAAGGTTATTGACATAAGTGGTCGAGACATTTATGTTCGAGCTTTGCTCGATAGTGGCAGCCAAGCCTCATTTGTGACAAAAACTCTTGTTAAAAAAATAATTTTAAACCTTTTTCAAATTCATCAAGTAATATCATTGATATTGGCAATTTTACTACCGGTCAGTGCAGTCGCTTCGTAATGACGTGACGACTCTAATGACGAACCTACAATATTTTCGTAGCGTAAGCATACCTACTGTGCGAAAATAATTCGAAATGGCGTGTCAACCTAAACGCTCCGAAACCGTCGTAGTTCACGAGTTCCTGGCCTTTGTTCAACAAAAATTGGTCGTCATGGACCAGGTGTCTCTGGAGCAGATACTGATGACAAGCTTCACCGAGGACGAGATCATCCAAGCGAAGAAGATGTTAGCAGATTCAGCCGTGATCCAAATCCGTCTCATCACACGTCACAGGGATGGACGCGGTAAGAAAGATCTGCAAGACATCTTCAGGCTGTTCAATGAGACCGACCCTGATGACATCCCAACTTTCGTCGCGCGTGATCACAACAAGCTGCCTTCCGTGTCACGTGCCGTTCGATCACGTAGACGTGACCAGATTGTTGAAAGACATCACCACGTTGAAAGCCGATTTTACCGACATCCGTTCCAAATTTGAAGAATCGGAACGAGCCGCAACAGAGCTGATATGTTGCGCAACATAATTGCAACATCTGCGAATTCACCGCCGTCGCAGAATGTTAATACGACACATGGTAACCGTAATAGTAGTCATATTCCACCGATGATTACGACTCCGTCATGCGATACCACCTGTCAGCGGGTTGATGACCGTGAAACTAGGGCGACCTCGGTCGCCATTGTATCACCACCTCAACCCTTGACTGAACCCATTAGTACTCCTCCGCCGAAGCCAACTTCAAAACAAGGGAAGACGTTTACGGATGTTGCCCGAAAATCTTTACAATCGGCACCCTATTGTGGTCGAAAGCGAAAAAACGTGGAAATGAAATCAGTTCCAGTGGTGACCCTAGACAAAATTGATAAGGACGGGTTTACTCTTGTTGAGAAGAGACGTCGGTCGAGACCAGTCTATAATCAGAGTAGAGTACAACTCTGCGTTCTGTGGAGCCAACTATACAGCTCTACATCTCCCGTTTGGACAAAAGTACGTCGGGAGAAGACGTCCTGCGTGTCGTGGAAGACCGAAGCCGATGCCACATTGAGGATCCGATCTCTTTACATTTGCAGTGTCTGGAGTCAAATAGGTCAACAAACTTCAAATCCTACGTACTCCAGCTTCCTGCAAAACACAAAGAGACATTCCTAGCTCCCGATTTCTGGCCCTCTGGGGTAGTGTTTCGCCGATACAGGGACGCGCCAAAGAAAAAAGTTTTCTAAATAGTTTTATGTCTATATTTTATATATATTTTTAGGTTAAGGTATATATTGCTATGGGCCAATGTTCTTATTTTTTAAGTCCTTGATGCCTGAAATTAAGTTATTGTAATAAAATCACAGTAATTAATTAAACTATTAATTTATCTCTAAGGTCTTGTAAACTGTTTAATAGTTAACTCAATTACGACACCCTTACCTCAAAAACTTGTTCATATTTCGAAATCAAACATTCCAGAGCATATATTGTTATCAGATGATCAGTTTACCATTCCTTCAGAAATTTCAATATTGTTAGGAATTGATGTTTATTTCAACTTATTGTCAAATGGATATGTGGGGATGCGCATAATCAACACACCACATATATTAAATAACCGTTTATTTCTACGAAGTTTAAAGTCGTGGATCGGAGCGCGGACGAGCGGCCTCACGGCGTCGGACGGTCACATCGACTGGTGAGGCGGCGAAAAACGAACCGGTTGCTCCAGCGCAGCCGAGGGCTCCCGACGATTGCCGAACGGTCAACAGCTACGGCCGTGCTGCCACATCAGCCCCCCCGGAGATCTTTACGGTCAGTAGAAGTCCGTAAACTTCACTTTTCGGCCAGATTTTGTGGTGTAGGCCGAGCTGGGTTCTTTATGTAGTTCTTCGGAGGGCTCCGTAGAATCGTTGAGAGTATAGGCTGGTTTCAATCTGTCAACAGACACCGTAATAATTTTACCATTTACGTTAATTTTAAAAGGTTTTTTATCGCGTTCTATGACCTTAAATGGACCGGAATAAGGAGGTTGCAACGCTTTCTTGATAGCATCTTGCCTTAGAAACACGTGCCACGCCTTATGCAAATGTTTATGAATAAATGCATTTGGGGTTCCATGTCGAACGACTATTGAGGGTTTTAACTCTCTTATATGTAAGCGTAACCTAGATAGGAAATCTGTGTAGTCAGTGACTTCTTTTAGGCTCGATATAAAGAAATCACTAGGTAAACGTAACGTCTCACCGTACACCAACTCAGCAGCCGATGCTGCTATATCCTCTTTCCAGGCGCAGCGTATTCCTAGAAGAACTAGCGGAAGAACTTCATACCAGTCCTTATCTGCGTGGCACATGATGACACCTTTCAGTTGTCGGTGAAAGCGCTCGACGAGGCCGTTAGCTGCTGGATGATAAGCGGTGGTAGAGATGTGGAGAGAACCTGTGAGTTTAGATAGCTCTTTAAATATGTGCGACTCAAATTGTTTTCCTCTATCCGTGGTTATTTTATGACGACGTCCGAAACGCGAGATCCAACCACGAGTAAAGGCATTAGCCACAGTTTCGGCTTTTATATCCTCCAAAGGACTAAAAAACTACCTCGGGCCAACGTGTGAACCTGTTTACGCACGTTAAGCAATATTTATAACTGTGCGAAACAGGTAATGGTCCAATTAGATCGATGTGCACGTGCAAAAATTGTACAAGAGAGGTAAAAAAATTACGTCAACAATTATCGCCCAATTACTCTTATACCTGTTCTATCGAAGGTGTTCGAGAAATGCATGCACCTGAGAATACTTAATTATTGCAACACAAACAACATCATTAATAAGGATTAATTCGGTTTCCAAAAAGAAAAGTCGACAACTTTAGCAATATTTACTCTTGTGCCAACAATACTGACAAAATTAAATAAAGGTTATCTAACAACAGGTCTATTTTTCGACTTGTCCAAGGCGTTTGATTTTGTAGACCACGACCTCTTAATAAATAAACTTGAAACGATTGGAATAAGAGGACTACAGTGGCTATCATCCTACTTGAGGAATCGGTGTCCGTGCATCACTGTTAATAAAATCATAAATAGCGAACTGATAACATGTTCTTCTACCCTAAAAAATAACACGAGTGGTATACCTCAGGGAAGTGTGCTAGGTCCACTTATGTTTATACTATACATAAATGACATAACCAGAGTGACTGGTCTTAAATGTATCTTGTTTGCAAATGACATATCAATAATTGTGACATCAGATAAAAGGACATACTCTCATAGAACACCAGCATAAAATAGCAGCTTAAGGGCGCTTGTACATGCTTAGAAAAGTAGACAGGTCTATGCAATAATTCGTGTCTGCGCTATACAAGACGAGCTCTGTGTTGTTTCGGTGAAAGGAGGGGTGGAGTAGGTGAGGTGCTATAGATAATTTGAGTACTTTTGTACATGCGTAGACGTGTTTACGTTTTAGCTGCAAGTACCCAGTTTATTACGCGGGATTCGAGGTTTAATCAAATAGTACTACTGAGTTGCTTATTAGCTTAAGATTTTTATGTGGTAGAGCCATGCTGCAGCTATATTAGTAATATAACTGTGGCACGAATGGGTCGGCTTGACCGGCGATGGACCACGCTCTCACAGAATACGACCGTAAAATATTCACACCGTGTTTCGTATGGTGAGTGAAGAGAACCGGAGACCCTTTTTACTGGAAACGAAGCAATCCATCTTAGTCCTCACGGGTGGCAACGTATCGGCATTTTGATCCGTAATCGACGATTTATGTAGATGCCTATGGGCCACAGCAACCACTTACCATCAGGTGGAATATGTGCTTGTTTGTCACCCTTATCCTAAAAAAAAAGCTTAGTGGAGACACGACCCTTATTGTGGGACAAAACCTTAGAAATGTATAAAGACAAACGACGCACTTTTAAAACATAGAGAGAAATATTTATCATCATAAACAGCGATTTTGAAGAAATGACAAATGTAAAAAAAATGGATATGGTGACTACAAAATACTCAATTATTTTAGTGATTTTACATTTTTTATAAATTTAATTTAATAATTTTATTATCAAATAACATTTTAACAATTGTGGTAGTACAATTAAAGACTTTTACTTTATTAAATATTTTAATCAATATAATCAAGACAACAAGTTAAAAACGGTTACTAATTATAATATTTTTATTCATGTCTTTTAAAACGTCTTTTCGTTACTTTTTCATTTTAAAACATCTTGGATCAAAGTCAGAATAAAAAGTAATATATATGTATATAAGAAAGCGTCCCAAACTCAAAGTCTGTTCAACGAGCTCATAGAATGTTTTTTTTTTATAGGAGAGGGGGCAAACGAGCATGCGGCTCACCTGATGGTAAGTGACTACCGCCGCCCATGAACAACCGCAACACCAGGGGAATTGCAGATGCGTTGCCGGCCTTAATTGAATCGGCTTGAATCTTCTAAATCTAAAGCATTGCAACCCTCCACAACAATCGATTTGACTGGTGATGATTATGTCATATCAAGAACAGCAGCAAGGACTACCTGCAGTAGAAGAAAATTAAAGAAATATATAAAAATTAATAAATATATTAGAAAACTATGTGTCATTATGTGTAAATAACAAAGTTAACAGTAAGACCTCATTATTTTCACCTACACTCTATGACAGTGCCATGACAAAGGATATAAACTTAAAAAGCAATGTAAATATTACAAAAATAAAGTTATTATGTATTGTGATGACAACAGTTATTTAACATCATGGCAAAAATTTGGGCATGATGTTAAATAACTGTTTAAAAGGACATCTGATCAGTAATTATTCCATGCCTGGAGCATCCTTTAGTCATATAATGAATAAAGTTTTAGCTAGTAAATTTTGTCCTTATAGCACATTAATAATTCTTGTTGGGAGAAGAGGCAATGTAAACAAAAATCAATTATTAAAATATATTGATAATCTAAATACTTTAAATGTACATAAAATTATCTTGTTTACATTGCCTTACATACAGAGTTGGCTGCAGAAAAATAAAATAAGGTATGATTTAAATTTATTAATGAATAACTTTTCATGCAATAATAATTTAAACTTGACATTTAATTGTTACAATTATAATGATAGAATTAATTTAATAGATATAAATAATTTAATTAAGAAATTTTTGACTAGAGATTGGTATTACCTATCAAATTATAATTTAAGACAAATGTGCTATCTTATTATTTATATATTAACTCAGCCAAGGACTTGGCTAAACAGACATCTGCTTCTTTTGAGCAGTGTAATGAC